CTTCTCATCCTCAATCCACAGCTGACCTTTTTTTACGTCACCAAAGCCGCATACGCAGTTGCAGCAATGCTTCGCATTGTGACTATCTCTATGCAATGATACCGGAGCATTGCGTGAGATCTGAAGAGCAGAAAACTTGGCTTCAGGATTGTGTTTTTTCACGAAGGATGCCAAGTCTCGACACAGCCACGGTCTTCTTCGTGTTTCTTTTGCAATACCACACACCCCTCCATGAGTATAGTGGCCCAGCACCAAGGCTACTCAGGCACCAATTATTGATACCACCTCTTCGATTTAGAACAACAAGTTGGCCAATATGTATCACCAGGAACGTTGTCCTCAACATATTCTTCCAGCTCCCCCAGTCCCCGGAGCATTTGAGTATTCGACACCTGATTGCTGAACAGGAAAGTTGTGTCTTGGAGGAATGCCATAAATCGGCCAATGAGTCGAATGAAGAGAAAGGATCAGAGACTAAAGACTGGCTGGTTAGAGCAAAAAGAGTGGAGGAACAGCTAGCAAAGTTTTTGGTCAAGGTGGCACAAGTTCAGCAGATCGCGCAGGAGAACACAGCGCTTGAAGCGGCGGAGGAGGTTCTTACAACCAAAACTATCCCAACACAAGAAGCAACGCAGGAGCTTGAAAAGTGGAGGGAACCGTTGTCAGACGAGGTGGCGTCACTAGTCAAAGAATTGGAGGTGGTGGAACCAACAACTCAAGAAATGCTGGACAAATTGGCTGAAGAACCTACTGCACCGGTGATCGTATACGTGCCCGGTTTGGCGGTGTTTACCAGAAAACAAGGAACTGGAAGAAGACGTGCTCGTATCTGCGCATGTGGAAATTTTATTTCGCCAACAGCGGCCACTGAATATGAGGGGCCTAGGTCCTTAAGTCGTCACTCGCTGTATATATGCTCCTGGGTTGGACTCTACAACCTTTCGGTGCCAGGTAAGGCACGCTGCTTGTACGGTGTGGATCATTGCTCGCCGATGAATAAGGCGCAGAGAGAAGTTCGTGAGGGATCTGCTAAACAGACGTGGTTACCAGATTGATGAGTCTGGAAAGGGCAGTAATCTGCCTATGATTAAAGAAACCCCTGGTGAAGAGGAGGAGGTGGATATCCCTTCTCTGAGGGCGGCTCAAGGGGCCGTGGGGGAGTTCCTCTGACGAGGCCTGATTTGGCGTTCTGTACAAGCCAGCTGTCATTGTGGACTTCTCGAAAGCCGAAATTCGTGGTGAAGAAAGCCGAAGAGGTCTTCAGGCATAGGACTCTGGACCACTGTCTAGGCGCCATCCGGCAAACAGGCCGGGAGCAGCAGAAGGATCGAACTTTCCCCTGTGTGCTGGGTCGGTCCCGTCCTTAGCCTTTGTCACTATTATCACATCTGCAGCAACGCGTTCCCCAAACTCTTCAACTTCAGGAAGCGCGCCGCGGTCGCTTAAAGGGTCGCGCCGAAGCTTCTCGACCTTCTTGCGATACATGCGGGACTGCGCACAGATGCGACAAGCTGGGTTCTTAGGGAAATGCGCCAAGCGATGCTCCAACGAGGCCGCTTCGCGTACAAGGCGCACGTCTTTGGACAGTGGCTCTTCACCAGCATCGGAGTCTGCTTCCGCGACTTCCCCTTCTGGGGGCGCTCGACCAGGAGGCTCTGCGGGGCCTTCGCCGGGAGCTGGCAGAGGAGACGGAGATGGAGAAGGAGCGCTTGCCTTAGCGGGCGGCGCGTGCGCAGCAACGGCGAAAGAAACCTGTTCCTTGAAAATGGGCACGTTCCCTTCAACACGGTCAGCACACAAAGCTCCACTAAGATCTGCTTGCGCGTGGTCACCGGTTTTGAGAAAGCAGGGCAACTGACCAGGGAGCCACAAGAAAGGCAACTGGCCACCGTTTACTATCTCACCCATAGACCTTGCTACAGGACAATCGTTCATGAGGTCTGCTGTGTTTCGGCCGAAGTCTTGGCCCTCACATGTCAAAACCTCGCGCGATGCGACAACGCCATTGCCTGTGGAGAACTGGATGGGTTGTTCTGCCTGCGAGGCTTGAAGGCCCACATCAGGCGGAATCCCTGGACGCTCAAGTGCTTGGAGAGACGTCAGGTTTCGACCGGCTCCGGAATCTGCAATCCATTCGAGCTGAAAGGGTCCTGGTTGATACCCTGGCAATGCTACCTCTGTAGCCTTTGGCAAAACGGCAGGCACTGTAGTCGAACTAAGAACAGTAAACCAACCCGAAAACCACCTAAAGAATGCCGACAACCCACTACGTGCGAGGAAAGTGGATTCGGCATCTCTATGACTAGACACATTGGCCTTCAAACCTGTGAGCTCAGGACAAGTTTGCTCCAGATCCAACTTGGGATTTGAGACTGGCGCAGCCCCTGGAACCATCCCGTGAACCCTGAGTGCGTGGGGCAGGTAAGGCTAAGTCCCGGGGAGGAGTGTCACTAGAGGTTGTAATCTGCAAGGAAGAACTGTCTGGCGTCGATGTCGACATTTTCACAACAGGCGACGACGACGCGCGAGATCGAGCAGGTTCTCTGGCGACGCTGGAGGAAAGTTCACGGCAGTGACCGATGTCCGATTCCGCACCTCACGGATGATGCCAACGTTGTCGTCGACGTGGGCCCAGGTGCAGCGTCCAGCGCAAGACTGCAGAGATGTCAGAAGGCGTGCTTTGGAGTTCGGGCCCGTCTTCTCAGAGGGGATGAAGACCGGAATCTCAAAGGGATATCCTGCTGAACGCGCGGCCTGATCCGTCCACCAGATAAGATTATCAATCACGCGCTGCGTTCAACACCAGATTAAAATCCAACGAAAGGACCGACTGTACTACACGTCCCAGCCACACCTGAGCAATGTCACTGGCTCGCCAGTATCGGTGAGCGCCAATGATATCTGTTGCTGCCGCCGGTGACGCGCTTGGTGGGGGCTCAGGAGGATGTGTAGGTCTGGCCTTTGGACGCGGGGGCTCAGGAGGATGGGCCTTGGCAACAGGTGAACGCGATCGCGGCGGAGACAATTCAGCCACAACCACAGGCTCGTCTTCCGAGTCAGAAGCCAAATCAACGACCTCTATGGGGTCAACCTGTGAGCCGTCCTCTGAGTCTGTCCACTCGTCACGGGGTCCAAAGATGGAATATCCACGAGTCAAATGGTTTCGGGATTTATCGTCATTTATCGTATGCTCAAAACGATCAATTGCCCGATCCAACTTTCTCCGAAAAGATGTATTGTTGGGCGCAAAACCAAGCTTCCAAGAGAGATGCACCAAAACGTGGATCCAATGATGAAGGAGATGAAGGCACACGGACTTGCGCACACGATTGGCCTTTGCTCCGCTCGTTCGGCGGCTCAGGGTCGCCAGCCGATGGATGCCAACAAGATCAGGCTCTTGCCAACACTCAACACTGTCATGCAACAGATCAGCGCAGCGAAGTGCAGTGAGCTATGGCACGAACACAAAAGGATGTATCAGGTTATATGTATGATTCTGTCATCCTATTCTGTGCTGTGCCTGGGCTAACACCCTAGCAAGAGGTAGCCTTTGGGTGCAAAACTGGAGGCTTGGAGCCCACACAGTTGCGCGCGAATGCAAGGTGGCAAGCAATCCGAGCCCAATCAATCAACTGAAGCCGTGCTCTTCTTGGTTTTCGGGCTACAGGAGATAGGGAAACACTCGGGTTTTCGAATGGAAGGGTAAAGACAGCAGGGCAGGGACCGTTTACTGTCGGGGAGTGCTAAAACCCGAATCCCAAACAACCACAAGGCCTAGCCACCCTTGACCGTGAACGGGTCTTAGGAGAGGTTGTTGGGGGATGTATGGGAAGGAGGCTTGCACCCACACAACCCACAATGCAGAAGATGCAAGCGACGCAAGCGTCTCCTCGATGCTGCGGCGGAGAAGACGATCCAGTACCTCACGGAGGATAGTGGGGCACAAGTGTTGTGATGGAATCCTGGAGGCAAGCAAGCCCGCACAGGAACAGATATGGAATGCAAGATACGGAAAGGCAATACTCAACCTTGGTGCTTGGCTCGGGCACACAAAGGGAGTAAAAGTGCAGGGCACCTTACAGAACCCTCGACCAACCAACTACGGCTGATCACAATCTGAAGCTCAACCCTCAGGGAGCAAACACGAATATGGCTCGCAAGTGGCTCTGGACTCACTTACGAACCGCGAAGTTAGTTACAGCTGAGGCTGTTAACCAGCTGTTTGAGGGGAAGTACCGCACAAACAGTAAGCAGACAAAACAGTATGCAAGACGCTTGTTTTGTCTTGAGCCAAATAAGATTCAGGTCGGTAGTTCTTGCAACTTCTATTGCAGTAGCCGGCTCAAGAGAACTACCTAACAACATGACTGTCCAGACACTGTACAGGAGGGCGTGATTACCTGTGTTTTCTCAACTGTGCAAGAGAGCCTCGACTTTGGTCGTGCCACCGAAGGCCGCCTGGTTTAGGCTGGTTTAGGAGGGTTTCTCGTCAGGGTCGTCTCGTTTCGCGTGCAAACGTTTGCGGGCTTGCGCCCAAAGCCGCGACGGACGCCCTCCCTCCTTGGCTGAAGTCACTCACCGGAGCCTCGGCTGAGGGGCGAATGTGAGCTGACATGAGTGCATATGCATCTTCTGCTTTGTGATGCATTAGGACTCGGCAGATCGCCATGCTTTCACTTTCATGTTAGTTTTGCAATTCGTATGAATGCAAATTTTTGGCTCAAGTATGAGACTAGACTTGTGCCCTTTGTGCACGGTAGTTTCGTTCTGTAGCTTTTAGGTTGCAGAGCGGTCCAACCGGACGCTAGGCCGCAGGTTCACACCGAGCTTGGACCCACGAAGTCAAAAGCAGCGTGACCGCCTGTGCTTTGGTTTAAGGCAAGACCAGTGCTGGTCGACTTCACAGTATACATACAAATATATACATATATATATATATATCACATCTTTTGAGAGAGACAGCGCGAAAGAACCGGAAGTGCCCTCTCCCCGCGGCTGGCCCTCACGGCCGTAGCGGCCCAGGCTGAGGCCTCTCAGACACAGAGCAAGAGAGCGAGAGCGAGAGAGAGGAAGAGAAGGGAATCCAAATGAGAGAGAGAGGGGGGGAGACACTCTCCGAGCGCTCTGCTCTCCGCGAGTTCTCTCAGAACTCATAAAGTCACTCATAGAGGAAGAAAAGAACGCGTTGTGTGTCTGTTTGTAGCGTCCTCTCTTCAAAGCTCTCCAAGCTCGGCTCCCGGGCCGCTCTGCTGGAGCCGCTCCCGGAGCTCCAGGCCCGACCAAGCTCCCCCTACTCCATCTCTTCCATCTCGCTGACCAAAGAGCTCCTCCTGCCCGCAGCAGACACAGTTTTTGAGGTTTTTGAGAAGACTTAGAGTCTTAGAGACATGCATGCAAAAGAGCCCAACCAGCCCAACACAGACAAGAGGAGCCTCCAAGGAGCCCGAGCTGCTGACCTCGAAAAAGGGGAAAGGTTTTTTTTTTTGAATTCTTGCCCTAAATCGCAAGGGGGAAGCTTCGGAATCTTCGGAATCTTCGGAATCTTCCCATCTTCTCAGAACCTTCACGAATTCTTCTGCTCTCGCCTGGACGCGTCGCTTGCTCCTGCTCCGGACGGATTGCGCCTCGCATCTGTCATTCGGCTGGAATCCGGCTAGAGTTCGGCAACAGGCCCAAATCAACAGCCGATGCGCGAGCCACATGTTGAACTGTACGTTTGGCATAGTGTCGTTTTAAGGTTTAGGTCTTGGGCTGGTAGATTTCTACGGTCCTGGATGTCTAACTTTCCCGGGCGATTTGGGTATCGATGCTTTGCATTCTGCATAGTGCGTTTCTCCAGTGCCTCTTTGGGCAAGACGTCTTGGTCGGTGATGATGCTGCCATGCTTGATCACTGCCCAGAACACCTCCTGCCGGTCGCACTGCAGAATTCGGTAGAATGCCAGTGGACTGTGTGAGCAACGCGCAGAAATGCAGAAACTCGGCAGAGTTGGCGGTGACTTTCAGGGAGCTCACGACACCAGTGCACCGCAGAGGGAATCGCCTTGTGCTTCAGCCTTGCTGCGACCTGCGCCGGCGTCTTCTCCTCACCAAAAAAACACTCAGAGTTCTCAGAGTTCTCAGAGTCCCTGATTGCTCAATATAAGAACTTGCGCCACACTGAGAGCAAATGCAAGGAGCAATACATGCACCGAACTCCTCCTGGTCGAGCACGGTGACATCTGCGCCCAGCTGCTCGACCAGGAAGTCCCTGAAAATTGCTGAAAATTGGGAGGGCGCCACGGGAAAAAGAGAGAGAGAGAGAGGGAGGTGAAACTGCAAAAACATAAACATGAATGTGTGAACATAAGCATCCAAACAAGTACACGAACAACTGTATCCGCCTAAGCCTTCGTTTCGCCCGTTTCGCGAAGCACCCTTTTCCACTAATAGCCTCCGCCCTCACCTCCGACAGCGCCATCGCCCCCCCCACACCCACTGCGCGGCACTCCTGCCGCCCAGCCCCGTTTATCCAGTTGAGCTGTGTACATCGCTTGCACGCACCGCCCTTACGTTTTCCCCTACATCGCCTTCACAGCACCCCCCCGCCGCACGTTCCAGCCCTTAAGTAGCTGCTCCCCGGCCCTCTTCAAGGGCGTCAGCCCACGCCCACACCGCCCACACCGCCCACACCGCCACACCGCCCACACCGCCCACACCGCACACACGACCCACACCCTCACCGCTCACACATCCCCTACCACTCTCACAGTACCCACGCCAGACAGCTATACACTGCTCTCCCGGCCCTTCGTTCAGGCCGAACATGGTCTAGCTGCGTCCAGCTAGGAACTGGGTAACAAAAATCTCAAGAAAGCCGAACAAGGCAGAGCTTGAGGGTTGAGTGATTTGAGGTGTCTCTCTGTGTCTCTGAACTTTGTTGGGGGCTCTTCGAAGTGTAAGAACCTGTAATCTTGGCCGCCCGGCGCACAGATGTCTGCCTCAGTTCGGGCACTCCCCTATGAGTGAAGTGCTCTGAGCGAAGTGCTCTCCGCGAAGTGCTCTCACTCTGACTGAGTGCGGTCTTTTTTTTTGCCTCGGAGTTCGGACGATAAGATCGCACGCAGAGAGCTTGTCTCGTCTCGTCGCACACGCCGCGATTCTTCTCAGAAAAAGACGCCATGCGCCTCCATGTGCGTCCGTGCATGCGCTTCCATGCGCTTCCACGCGCAGCGACCCAGCGGTCCCGAAGTGCAGAGCAGAGTGCGGCGGAGAGTGCAGACAAGCGCTGCTTTTCCCGCAGGGTCTTCAAAAAAGTGGAATTTACCCTTCAAAAAATCTGGAGAGCTGCCCTGGCCTGGAGGCTTGATCCACATGCGCCGAGTCTGAGATATCTACAACCTCTACAGTGTGTGGGGCCATCTATTTTCTAAGTTTTGGTGGGGTTTTGGTAGGGATTTAGAGGGGTTCTTTTGTGGTATGTTCTAATTTTTGTGAGTTTTTTGTGGGTGTTTTTGAGGGCTTTTTGTGGAGATTTCTACAAACTCTGCAACATCTGGGCGCTGGGCATTCTTCTTGGCGCAATGGTGGAGCACCCCCTTCGAGGACCGGTCTTTTGGTAGTTACCCGGCTTGCCCGGCTTACCCTTCGCGGCCTCTCCGAAAAGAAGGGGCACCTCTGGAGAGAGGCCCTGCTCCTGCGTGCTTTAACAAGAATTGAGACATTTTAGGCATCCGTTTATGTCCGTTTACATGCGTTTACTCCGTTTGTGTCCTCCATGCAACGCTGCAGCGCTTTTGGACCTGCTGCGAGAAAGAAGCGCACGGAATACACCAATCCCACGCCATCACGCGAAGGAGCCGAGGCAAAGGCAATTATTGTCGATGGCTGAGTAGATCACAAGCACATCAAAGAGTTCTGGCCTAAGCGAACAGAACTCTTGAAGAATGTCAGCTTCTTCCTCGTGCGTCAATACCTTCTGCGAGCACTCGGACAGTACGCCGATCAGAAAAGGACGCCATGTTGCACCAATTGCACCCATCTTGCAAGCAAGCAGCAACTGTCCGACCATCAAGCCTGCCCGGCACAGAACTCTACTTTTTTGTTCGCAACTTTCAGCTTTGAAGCAGGATCCTGCAGGCTTCAGGCTTCAGTCAAGCTTCAGGATTCGGGAAGTTCGCCACGTCATTCGCCGAAACTGTTTGCTTCGCGAGGCTTGCCTCGGAACTTGTCGACATCGACCGAGATGAGCTCACAAAACCTGCATGCCCACACACCCGGAAAGACTGAAAGAAGAGTACTGCGAAGGCGCTGCAAAACTCGAGCTTGGGACGATAAGCAGACCACGGTCTTCCAACTCCTAGGAGAGCTGCAGAGCTCTCGCATGCTCTCGCTCTTGTTGCTGCTGGCAAAGTGTCTCGCAAATCGTGGGGGAAGAGGTCCGTGGAAGAGTCAGTGGTAACTGACAGGCGCTGACAATTTTGGGGCCCCGATCAGAATTTCTGTTGAGTATAACAGGCAAAATCAGGTGGAGATGTAATGAAAGTGCGAATTCTCTCACTGAACTTGGCAGGGTGGGGAGGGGGGGCGGATGGGAGACCAGCGCACCCTCATACCTCTGCCAACAAGAGACCAAAACACGGAAAGTAAAAAAGGCACAAAAACAAAATCCAGCAGAAAGCAAAACCGGCAACATGCGGAAGGCGGAAGGCGCGAAGGTGGAAGGCGCAAAGTGCGCAAAGTGCGCAAAGCCAGCAAAGCCAGCAAAGCAAAGCCATGCAAGGCAGCAAGGCAAGGCAAGGCAAGGCAAGGAAAGGCAAGGCAAGGCAAGGCAAGGCAAGGCAAGGCAAGGCAAGGCAAGGCAGCGCAAAGCAGGTAAGAGTGTTTTTGTTCCGTACGTTTTTTGCTCTCCGCGCCTTTTTGTAACTCACGCGGCTGGCCGATAAAAAAAACTACTCCGGGCGCATTTGTTTTTGTTCGGGGCGCGGCAGGCCCGGCAAAAAAAAACACTTGGGGCAGGCGGGACGCGTTTGTTTTTTGTTCGGCACGCGGCTGGCCCAGAGAAAGAAAAACCTCGATTTATTCATGTTTTACTGCATACTTGTATTTTCGAAGTGAAAAACCTTCGGATTTATCTATATTCTCGCTGACAAAGCAACAAAACACGGTTTTTTTTGTTCGGAATGCGTCCGTTTTCTTGGATTTTCTTCGGAAAAGACTACATTCCCTTTGAATTTTCATAGGATTTGGTCGACTTTCTTGCTTTTCCCCAAAAACCTCCATTCCCCTTTATTTTATATTTATAGGAACTGATCCATTTTTCTTTGGTTTTCCTATGAAAACCTCCAGTCCCCCATCCATAGGACTCGTACTCCTTTTCGCAGGAACTCTTATAGATTTTGCTCGCAAGCTTGCACAGCTTCAAAAAGCCCCTATTTGCAAACACAGTGCTCGCATCATGGGTTTCAAAAAGACGCATACGAGTTGAAATCAAGCTTTTGAAAACGAGGGTGTTGGGGCGAAGGGGCGGGGGTGCAGCCCCCCCCCCCGTCCGCCCAATTTGCAAACACAACTGGCATCATGAGTTTCAATCGTTCATATGCTTTGAAAAAAGTGGCATGATGGGTTTCAATCGTTCATACGCCTTGAAAAAAGCTTGCACGGCTTAAAGAAGGGGGGGGGTTGGGGGTAATATTCTTGTTAATTTAAAGAACTCCTAAATCTTCATACGTTTCCGATTAAAGTGCATCATAAAGAATTCGTGTGAATTTCAATAAGATTCCTCTTAACTTCGAAAGGATTCCTATTTATCTCAAGTTTTATATAGGAAAACCTCTTATAATCTCGTCCAGGGGCGCGTTTTTTTCTTGTTCGGGACACGGCCGGCCGAGCAAAAAACAAAAACTCCGGGCGCGTTGTTGTCTTTTCCGGACGCACTTGCGGGCCGGGGGTCGTGTGGGCCTTCGCCCAGGGGCGCGTTGTTCTTTTGTTGTTTTTTGTTCCGGACGCCTTCTGTTGGTTGTGGATGCAGTCCTTGCTGGTCTGGAACTTCGAGAGCGTCCCCCGACGGTTGCGTTGCTTCCTGTTGAACTTCTGGCAGTTGCTGAGGTTCGTCCGGGTAGCTCTCGAACGGCTTCACGTAGTCAGGCGTCTCCATACGTGCCGAGCCGAACGCCGCTGAGTCAAACTGCGCCGACTCAAGGTTTGCAGGGACTTGACTTTGTGAAGGTCCGGCGTGCTGGTAGTGCACGCGGCGTCCCCGGCACAGGCTCGGCCGTGACCAGGACAGTGGTGGAGCCAGTTCTTAGCCATGCTTGACTGCCAACGTGAGAAGGGTCCCACGGCCCATCCGCCGCGCTTGTGTGGACCTTTGCGTCACCATCGCCAAAATGCACATGGTTCTCCTGGGAAGATATATCCGCAATACCTGTAGCTCTCGTCTTCCTGAGGAGGGCCCTGCGGATGCCCTTGTCCACTGCGAACTCGGCAAGGTGACGAAGGGCTTCAGCTCGAATTTGTTCGGACCGGATTGCAGCATCAGCAGGCGAGGAAGCCAATGCCACTGAATCCGAGAGAAGATCAAGTCGGCCAAAAACTGCTTGATAGGCTGAACGACCTTCGGTCACAGAAGCCGTTGATAAACTCGTGTTCACCTGCGCTTCGCTCTCCTACGCCTTCACCGAACTCCCAGTCGTAGGCGGTAGGTGTTCTCCAGGTCGTCATTCTCCGTCATGTCGTACTCCGTGGGCTCGCCCGGTATTGGCAGTCGGTCGCCGAAGACGGTGCCGAGTAGGCTTCTGTAGCCGGGGCCGTCGTCGATGAGGTTGCTTTGGGTTTGGTTGAGTGAGCTATGGGCGACAAAGTCCGAACGAGGCAGCACACATGACCGAGAGGAGCGCTGATCGGCATTTCCACTTGAAGCTGCACAGCTTGCACCTGCTGAAGCTTCCGTGCGCATTTCCGTACCGACGCAGATCGTTATGGTTGCACTGGTCCGGATCCGCCTGAGCTTGCCCTGCTTGTCCCATGCAGAGGGCCAGCGCTTAGAGGATCGACCAATCGAACGTTCACCGCCACGAAGAGGCTCTCCATCAAATTGCGAAGTGTGCGCCTGGAGCCAGTCTGCGCCAAGCGGTCAGCCATGCCGGAGGGTCGCGGATCATCATTTAAGGGAAAGCCTGCGGCGGGATGTCCAAGCTTGGGGCTGAAAGAACAACTTGAGGACTATGAGCATGAGCTGCGCGCAAGTGAAGGTGAAGGTGCACAAAGCTCTCAGATGCCGCAGAACCGGAAGTGAGTGCCGAAGAGCTTGATCGCCTCGATGCCCTTGCCGAGTGGCACGAGATGGAGAGGCTCTGCAAGAGTGGTGTCCTGCAAGAAATCGATGAGAGCGATGAGGCCATCCGCACCCCGCGGTTGTGAAGCACTAAACATGTGCACAGCTGGCGGGTAAAGCCGCACCCTGACGGCTCAGGCGATGCATACTTCGCCGCTCCAGATTTGTAGCCAGGGAAAATCTTGCGCCCTGCAACGGTACATGGAATGTGTGCCCTGAACAAAGCTGGCGAAGGATCGCCTTTTCCAAACTGGAAGTGCTCCTTCATGCCCTTCTTGCGCTTGTGCACGCGCAGGCCGCATCTGTCCAGAATCTGCACATGTGCTTTGAACCATTCGGGCCCGCAACATGTTCTTTGACAAGCTGTGTCCAAAATCAATTGACCGGCTAGAGGAGCGCTATCCTTGACGTGAAAGACGGCCACGTTAGCCGTGAACGGGTTGCCGAAGCTGTCGCGAGCGTCCGCGAGGTCCAAGCCGGAGGCCGGAGGTGTTCACATTGGCTTCATCTCCTGTGGGGACTTCTTGCCGGCGCTGCCAGAGCCAGAGGTAAACTTCCGCCCTAGTTTGCCGGATTGTAAACGACGCGTCGTCACGGTCAAAGACCTGTGCTAGGTGTTCGAGCGTGTCCTCCTCGTCGTTGTCGTTGTCCCGTCGCTGGGGTCGTCGCGGTTGTCCTGGCCGCCCTCTCCGCCATCAGGCATCCTCCTTGCTGATGTCCTGCAGATGGCCGCTGTCGGCGTGTCCATCTTGTCCGACCAGACCTTCTTGCCCCGGAGTGACACTGGCCGTTCTTGCCGCCCTAGGACGAAGAGGATGGAGCCGTCACTGAAGAAGAAATGGAACTTTTGCTGACACCTTTGGGTCGTACTGGCTGGCCGTCATGCCCTACTACTGGAGGAGGAGCCCGGAATTCGGGGAATTGCACGGTCATGCTGTCCATGATGTCATTGAATGCCAAGCTGTGCTGCGCGCCGATAAGTATCAGTCGCTGGTCCTGCACGGTAAGGCTTGCTCAATCACGAAGACGGTTTCCACGACTTTCTTCATCATACATCGCCGCCACCAAGGGCCTCGTTTTTGAGCAATCGGTGACTCCAAGGGGGGAGGATGAAGTCGATTCCATCGGAGCAGTACACCGACTTTCAAGGACATGCTCAAGTTCGCTTTCCAACTCCTCAGTAAGGGAATTGTATAAGAGTAGAGCTGCTTCCTTCTTCTGCATGAACGGTGCAATTTGCAGCTCCCATCTGGCAATCTTCCGCTTCCATTTAGCGAACACGCGCATGTCGTCCTTCTCGTACTTCCAGGCTGGCGGGGCTGGAGGTGTCCCGCCCCGCCATTTGATCCCACGTTCTGGCCCCATTCGGGACAGCCATGTGGAAGAGGAACCGGTCGAGAAGTCCTTCTGGGCAGGGGCGCCAAGTCGAGGTTGATCAAGAGCCTCTTTTTTGAAGTGCTGGAGGAGAAGGAGCGTGAAGGGCTCGCTGTCTGCCTTGCCATTGATCGACGTCAGGTCGCCGAGGAGCGCCACGCCCAGCCGCTGAGGCCAAGGTAGTCGACCCGCCTGCAATCGGCCTCTGGGTCAATCACGGGCGTCGGCGCCTGCTCCCTTGAAGAGGTGCCTTCAAGGAAGGTCGTCGCCAGCTGCATGTGCTTGCCGTCTGGCTCGTCGCTGGCGCCAACCGAGGAACTTTCACCTTGTGGATCCGCCGGTGCCCTGACTGGTCTGTCTCTTTGGTCTGGTAGGAGTCTCTGCTAGCACTTAGCACATCGCCACAAGGCAGGGCCCAGTCGTTGTCCTTGAAGAGGTCGCCGCAGCATCAGCGGTTCCCTTCAGGAAACAGCCTAGGGCCGGAACTCGTCAAGGTCGGGGGATTCATCGATGGACCTGAAGGAAGAACATCTCGAAGGAAGTCGGACACATTCTGCATCTTCAGGTCTCGGCAGAGAACGGCGCCAACTGATCAAACACCGTCACAGCAGCACGAAGCGCAAGCAATGGCGTTTTCAAGTACTTCGCTCAAGAGGGCCCATCTGAGCCCGATGCCGCAATGATCACACATGCCTTGCTGGCGTTGCGAAATCTTACGGGAAACCCAATACGTACACTACTTTCACAAAAACAACGCTTCTCGTAGGATTCTTGCTAATTTCATTAGGATGCCTCTTAAACTTAGTAGGGTTCTTGCTGTCTTGAGAGAATTCCTATAAATCTTAGTACGTTTCCTGTTAAAGTGAATAGGATGTTTATTGATTCATTTCAATAGGATTCCTATTAATTTAACAGGATTCCTATGAATTTCAGTAGGATTCCTGTTCGTTTCGAGGTTGATAAGAAAAGCTCTTATCATCTCGTCCAGGGGCGCGTGTTTTTTTTGTTCCGGACGCAGCTGGCCGAGCAAAAAAAGGAGCCAAAAAAACACATGTTCCGAGCAATTCAAGGCCAGGCAAGGCAAGGCAAACCAAGGCAAAGCAAAAGCTGCATAACGGAAAACTCACAAAACAAGAATCAAATCCCACACCAAAATCTGAGGCAGATCAATATTCAGGGTTCCGTTGAAGAAAAAAACATTGTGTAAACAGAGGGGATGCGCAAACAAGAAGCCTCGACCCGAATTGGGCCCCGAAGGCTGACGAGGCCGGTGCCGGCTGCTCCCCAGGAAGAGCCGCACGTCGCCTCAGTCACAAAAAAAAAAACAGAGAGCGAGAGAGGGAGAGAGGGAGAGAGGGCGAGAGGGCGCGTCCACTGAGAGAAAGGGCCAATGAAGGCGCCGCCATGGAGCTGCTCATCGGGCCTTGCACAACTGAGAAGACTGAGAACCTTCCAAAGCCTAAAGATAGAGAATGCTCCAAAAAGAGAGCGAGAGAATGCTCCAAAAAGAGACCACACAGAGAGAACAACAGAGAAGAGACAACTCTTCTATCTTAGAAGTCTCGGAACCGCGAGTTGGCAATGCGCGTGCCTGGCGGCTTCCACGGCCTCCCCGGAACGCTGAAGGCCGTAAAGACATGCCACAATTGTCCCTCCGCCAAACACAACCCAGTCACCCGGGAGTGCCCGCACTCTCTGTCCCTCTATGTCCCTCTCTCTTTCTCTCTTTCTCTCTTTCTCTCTGTCCCTTTTGCTCCATCTCTCACCTCGATCTCCTTCTGGATCTCCTTAGCACAGCAAATCCAAGGACAGTTGCACTTGCATGCCGTTCTGTTTTCATCTCTCATACGCTTCGGCCATCCTCCGCCCCTCCATTGCCTTCCCCTCCCCCAAGGGAGCCACGTCCATGTCCTCAACGCGCACACGCGCACACGCGCACACGCGCACACGCGCACACGCGCACACCTCTCTGAAACCTCTCAAACTCTTCAAGAGCAGTTGAAGCAAGATGGTCCTCCATCTCGTCTCCTGATCCTGCGTGCAGAAACCCAAGCCAGGGTCACAGGACAAGCAAAAAAAACAAAAGCATCTCGCTCCTGGGAATGGCAGCGACTTCGCCGTCATGGCCCTCTCAAATTTCTCGAAGCACACACAAGCATCTGCGAGAGTTCCTTAGAAAAACACCCCCTTAAAAAAACTGTCTCTTTTTACCATATCTACAGATGCCCCCCCCCCTTTGCTGCTCACACGCCGGGGACCCCTCTCCTGCCTGGAGGACTCCCCCGTTCCTGGGACGACGGAACATCTGAGAGGAAAACATCTGAGAGACAGACATCTGAGACGACTCCCATCTGAATAGAGCCCCCCCATTGTTGTGGCCCCACATTGTTGGTGGCTCAATCAAGTCCCCCCAGAGGGCCGCGCGCATCTGAACCAGTCCGCGGCGGATGTAGAAGCCTCGGGGGGGGCATCGCACAAGCCAACTCCCCAGTCCCCAGCCCCTTTCTTCTTTGCCTGCAAAACATGCCAACGTGTTGCCCCTCATCTTTCTGCTGGTGACAAGAAGGGCGGGCAGTGAGGAAAACTTCTTGCAACCTGCTTGCAGCTCTTCACTTCAGCGCCCGCCAGGATGAGCTCTTGCCCTGCACCAGACGTGCTGCAGGGACCAGACTCTGACCAGACTCTGAGCAGACTCTGAGCAGACTCTGAGCAGACATGAGCAGACGCAAGTCCACAGTATTCTCCATTGCCCCCTCGGCATGCCCCCCCCCCCATGCTAATCATCTTGCGGGACCGGGTGGATGGAACTCCATGTCGCAGATGTCGCAGATCTTGGCACTGCAAAGGGGGCAACATGGCTGCATCATGCTCTCCGGTTTCAGCGCTCAGGCAACAGCGTTGACCAGGATCTCTCTTGGAACCTGAAGCCACCGACTTCGGGGAATGTTCTGTTGAGGCCTCTGAGCTTGCTTTTTTGCAACACGCGATGGCACAGAGGGGCACAGAGGGGCACAGAGGGGCTACGGTGCGTGCGCTCGCCTTACGGTCCGAACGGCTAGTTCGTAGCAGCCTACTCGGCGGAGTAGACCCTCAGAACTTCCTCGTGCGGAGGCCGGCGTTTGTGATCATTGTTCGCTCAAGCTCGCCATGCGTTGGGCGTAGTAGGGACTTGAATCATTGAACATGCCGACCCCTTTGAGGGAAAAAGGTGCACTCGGTTGGCAGGGACATGAGTGGCAATGAGCGGCAGCAGACGGTGTTGCAACCGAAGCGGCCAATGTAGAGGGATGTCAATGTGACATCGCATGAACTCTTGCGAAACACAGAGATCCCACAAGCATGTAAACCATATGGGCTTCACCATGAGGCGACAATGCGAACAACCCCAGGAGCAGCTGCATGTCGCCAGGCCTGGATCTCCAACTTGGGTAGTTTGCTGCTCCAGGGTCCGCCGATGACTCTCGAGATTTTTTGAGAATGCCGCCCAGAATGCTTCGATGAGAAGATTGCAGACAAGGACTTTTGGGGGGAGCTTCTGAGAGTCTGTGATGAACGAATCCAGCACGCAGATGAGATCGGACCTGAGGATGTGTCTGTTGCAGGCAAGTTTCTATACAAGCCCTGAACCTGAGCGATTGCAGACTTAGCATTGAGCTCTTGGCAGGGCGACTATTCGATCGGCGAACATGCTTCGGAGGCAAACATTCCGGGGGACTTCCCAAGTTTCGAAAGTTTGGGAGCACAAGCCGGGCAGGGTGGCGAGTGCTCTGCAAGGGCGCAGCAGGGGCTATCGACTAGGCGAGGATACGGAGGGGGGCGAGCTTTCGTAAGAGCCAGGCGTCGCCCCGAATGTTCAACCACACAACTGCATGGTGAATTTCATGCTCAATGGACGAGGCTGGCGAGAACACGCCGGCTCTGAATGGAGCCTGAACGCGTACTGGAAGAGCTTACAACAGCGCCGCGCACCTACGCTTTGCATTGTGCACTTCCAACATCGTGACCGTTTCGTAGGTATATTCCGCACCCTTAACAGTGCCTTTTGGCAGCCCTCTGCCTTTATGCTGCAGACTGCCTAGCAGTTCTGTTCTTGGCTAAGTTTCAGGGACAGTGGGTTTGCTTTGTGGTCTGTGTGCTATGGACAAAAAATCGGCTGCTGCGCGGGGCAGTAAGAGTATTGGGGTGAGGGCGTCCGAACTCGCTGCCCGCGCAGCAAAAATCTCCCTGCCGGCAACCAGGATATCCCTTCTTCCTTCGCCTTGCAAGAATTTCCGCATCAGCCTGTGCAGGACATATTCGCGTCTGGGCAAAATGTGACGTTGCACACCTGGCCATCAAGTGGGAGGAAACACATACTGATGTCAAGCACGTGAACTGGCTGCTACAACTCTGTTAATTCCCTGAGCCTCGCGCCAACTGAAGCAGGTGGTGCGTGGCCAAACACGTTCCCGTCAGGGCCATGTTCACATTGACACGCAACACCTCCGACCTTGGACCAAAGAAAGGATCACAACGCAAGGGACAAGAGGCAACAATCGCCCTCCACAACAAGCACACGGACGCACTTTCTAAGTGGCGTAGGGGCCAACCATGAGAGCACCCGGAGACAGCGCACGAGCATGGACCTACTACACTACCTGTGCTCAGCGTAGCCCCCCTTCCCAGTACTGTATGTCCGATCCCTTGAGGAGATCACCGAAACCGACGGCAAAAACACTACCCGAAACCAGCCTCGGACTTTTTTCGTTATTACACTGGCGGCAAATCTGTGCTCGCCTTTGCTTGCGATACGCCCTGGGCCGATTTCTTAGCCCCCCAGATGTATGTGTGGAAGGCATCCGATGCCCAGAGCGCCCATATTTCTTGAAATGCCTGCATCGTGGAGAGCGGCCCACAGTGCACTCCCGTAGGTGCGGCACGGCGAAACTTCGCTATGCCCGCGTTCACTGAGGAGCACCCTCTTTGTGCTCCCGGTCCTTGCCCGACAGGAGCCAAATCGGGATTTGGCTCCCTGTGGCAAAAGAGCCCTCAGGTCGTTGCCGTGGAGCCTTGCGGGAGGCTGTGGCTGCTCCGTGGCCCTGGGAGGCTGCGACGTTTGTCCTTGCCTTCTGCTCTTGCGCCGGCAAACTCAAACGTTACGCTTCTCCCGAGAAGACTATTCGGACTAGGCGGATCCTCTTCCCAGCCTTCCTTGCTGTCGTAGAGCGGGTTGGTGAAACACTCCTCGGTACTCTGGGCTCCCTGCCAACCGGCGCATACACTTAAGCAACATCCCTACGCCCAGAATCAACTCCCCACTACTATAGGCTTGGGTGGCCCAACAATCTCGACTGAGGTCTCAGGTACGCCTGTCACGCCTGACACTGCGCTGGAGCTGGTGAACTTGTGTGGCCGGCCTTAACTTGCCAATGACTTGCGAGTCGCGTGAGCTTGCCGGACGTACACACCCGCACTGCTGCGTCGAAAGAAGTGTACAAACATGTTGTTCACAGCCGCACGCGGTGTAACTTCAGCAGCGTTTGGCGCGGCAGTTCCAACACGGCTGCCACTGACCCTCTTGACCCAACATGTTTCCTTGGATAGGTCACCATTTCTTCGCTTCATGTTTCAATCTTGGCAGGCCTGATGGCCTGGCCTGACTTCCACAGTCGCATCACTGCCAGGGGAGGAAAAAACCCAGCTTGTGAGTTGGCAATTCGTTCCACCGCCGCAATCCATTGGACCAAAAGCGAGATTCTGCTGGCCGTGTCGCTGCCCCCCCCAAATCGGCTGAAGCCGTGACATCCTTCCCGACCCAAGGCTCAGGCCGAAGAACAGGGCTCCAAACACTTTCGTCAACTCAACTCTTGGAGACAACTCGACAACTCGACAACTCGACAACTCGGATGCTAAGGTCACGGACTTCTTGAGCCAACGCATCAGCATGGACTTGGTCTCCTCTCTCTCCTTGCACGCTGAGACTGCGAAGACTCTGCGAAGACTCTGCGAAGACTCTGCGAAGACTCTGCGAAGACTCTGCGAAGACTCTCCGAAGACTCTGCGAAGACTCTGCGAAGACTGCTAAGAGGGCGAAAATTGAGAATCAAAATTGGTGACACAAACCTTGTTAACTTGGGTTGCTCTCTCCTGGTTCTCGAAGAACTGCAGCAGGTAGTTGTGGACCTGAGAGTGCACTCCCTTTCCCGAAAGGGAACCGCCCTGGGACACCCCCCCTTCTCCTGGAACCGCTGCGCACGCTGCGCACGCCGCGCACGCTGCGCACGCTGCCGCCCCCCCCCTCGCTGGGCAAGCCCCGCTGCCGAGGCGCATGAAACAAGCCCAGGGAGAGAGAGAGAGTTTGAGAGAGAGCTTGAGAGAGAGAGAGAGAGAGTTTTTGAGAGACTCTGCAGGGAAACTGACCGTATCTGACCGTAACACTTTAGAATCGCCTGAAAAATCGCTTCGTGAACTGCGAGGCCGCAGCCCGGGACTGGAGGTGGTCGGGGACGGCGTAGACGCGGAGGAAGCGGCCCACCTTGGCCAGCTGCTCGTTGGCCACCGCGGTCCTCTCACTCAGCTTCGACACGATCCTCAGCATCATGTGTGTGTGTGTTGATGTGTGTTGATTGTGTTGCATTGTGTGTTTCATTATGTGTTGCATTGTGTGTTGCATTGTGTTGCTTTCCACCTTCGGCTCACCATAGGCACCTCTTCTTTACTTTCTGTGTCCGTTTTGTAGTTCCAATCTGTGAAAAGTTGTGTCCAACTCTGCACAGTAACTAGACTAACTAGACCATAGACGTGTGCGACTACTCAGCTGCTCAGCGTACTGCTTTTGCGCGGCTCTTTTGCGCGGTTCGTTTTTTAAATTCCACTCGGGATGCACGTTACCAAAGAACTCACGAACTCAGAAATGAGCGTGGCCACACCACTCACGGGTTTTTTTTGTGGGGATGTCGAGGCGAGACTCAGAATCATATTCCCAGAGATTTCTACAGTTTTTGTAGGAATCTGGGGGCGAGATGGCTGCACCACGTGGGGCCACGTCCTTTTTGCCCCTTTCGGATTTTTTTGGGATTTGTGGGTTTTGTTCTAGGCGAGATGTGGATCTTGTGGGGATTTGGGGGTTTGTGAGTTTTTGTGGGGATTTCCGGGCGAGACCAGGCTCGGGAGCTGCATGCACCACATGGGCTTTTCTTCGGAATCCATTAATCCATTTCAGAGTCCAGTTTCTGAGCCACACCATTCACGGCCACGCCGACGACCAGGCTCGTGGTTGCCCTGACAACTTGCGGCGAGGCTTGAAAGCCGCGTGAAGCCCCATTGCATATGCCCTTTAGGCATGCCCTGCCCTACAGACTCCAATTGTGGCACCGAGGCGCATGATAATGCACAGCAGCGCCCGCTCGTTCGACAGGTTCATGTTGATGTCGCCCAAGCCCACTGTTGACATGACCTCTCAAGCCATGCACGGAATGAACTGTCACAACTGTCTTTCTGCACATTACGCTCACAATTGAGTCCCCCTCGGTGATGGCAAAATACAGGGCTGTCATGTAGCGTTCTCCGACAGGCACTGCCTGCAAAAGCCGTATGTCGTGCCCGTTGGGCCCCCTCTTCTGGTGAAGTTGCACGAAGGCTGCACCTGCAAAGCCCCCGGGTCGTTGGAGATGTCCAGGCCCAGCTGAAAGTGGGACGGGAAGATGTTGAAAAAACACATCAAAAAAAAAAAGGCTGTGCACACTTCGAGTACAGAACAAAGGTGCACCTTGATCCAACTTGAAGATGTCGCGTCCGCCTCCTCAAGTTGCGGGATCGAGTGTGCAATCCGCTCCGAGGCCTTGGGCCCTCTTATCCCCTGGGGCACTTGTTTGGCTGGAATGTGTCGGGATGTGTACCATTGTGTACCCCCCCCCCCTCCCCCCCTAGCCAACAGGTGTGTGGGAGCGGACGGTGCAGCGGGACCAGGGGTCTTCGGGGCTTATTATAGGGGCGCCTTTCCCACCCACCGCACGCCCACCCTGGCTGACCCTCCCTCCGCCTTGCCTTCCTTCCCGTTTGCCCCCTGCTATCCTGCATGTCTTCAATGTCTTCCGCCTTCTTTCACCACCCAAACCCACTTGTCCTTGCTTGCCTGTTTTGCCACTTCGACATTTGGTGTGCTACAACAGGGTCCCCAAAAGGGAATGATAACTTCTCAAAACTTCTCAGAACTTGAAGCATCTTGAAGCTGTAGAAAGAAGATGACAGAAGCCTCTCCAGCGCCCCCCTCGGTCCCACAGTCGCGCAGCTCTTCCAAGCGAGAGGCAAAGGTTGCTTCTGTGGGAGTGCAACCGTGTGTCGTACCGAGAGGGCAACCCCCCGGCAAACCCCCCAAAATTGATTTTGTCATACTTTGTCCATCTCTCATGGCACCGTCGACCGGAGCTATGCAAAAAAAACCTGTGAATTGTGCACGCGCGCCGCGGTGAAGAGGCCCGAGTGGAAAGCAAGCAGGACCGGGCCCCCTTCAGGTAAGAGCCAGTCAACACCTCACCAAAGGTCGAAAACGTCCTGAGGTCCTCTGAATTCCTCTGAGGTCCTCTGACATGTTTAAAGGTATTCTCGGTACTCTGCATATTATATTTTATTCCAAGGTAGTCGGCGACCTACTCCTGGAACCGGCAAGCGCAGCTAATGAGCTGGCCACTCTGCCATCGGCACTCACAAAATAACGTGATGTCCAGAGTCTTACTCGCTTGAGTTGCTTGCTTTGTTGCGCAGATCGAAAACGCGGTGGTATTGACCATCTGACGTAGCAGATTGCCATACTCTGGAATCGTCCGGGCCTGTTGAGTTGATGTAACTGAAGAAAGAAGACTTGCTCATCACTTTTCTCGTTGAGTTACTAGACGGGCTCCGCGTATAAGGTTCGGAGACTCTGCCCGACTGAGCACACGGCGAGGTTGCTCCGACCCAGGGACCACAAAGCACAGGCCTCCGTGTTAGAGCGGGTCCCTGATTTTCCGATGCTTCAGCACATCCCAGTTCTGGCGATGGGGTCAGATGCCAGTGGATCCTGGGAATGGCACCGAGATATGTGAGAAGACGACTGGCAACATGAACAACCTGAGCAGGTCATGTGAGGTCGAAGGACACGGAAGATGCGGGAGGTTCCTCCACTTTTCACGGCTAAGGCCTGCGCTGCACGAGCGCCACCACGGAGGACACCACCGAAGACTTCAGGTTGGCCTTCGGAACTTCGGAATCGAAGACGAACTACGTCAGCCGAAGGCTTTGGGGGCCTCCAGGCGGCGCAGCATGCTGAAGGCGCGCCACAACCTCTCAAAGCCACAACCAGACTTTGCGGGTGCAGAAAGAGGCACACAAAGAGAGAGAGAGAGAGAGGATGACTCATGCAGACCGTCCATACATGTTAGCGAAGGGCTAACCACATTGCGGATATACATACATATACATACACATTATATATATATATATATACATATATATGTATGGTACCCCCCCCCCCCCCCATGCACCCACGCCTTTTTCCAGAATCTCAGCTTCTGCAGAAACGTGTGGAAGCAGACGAGGCCGAAATATACTTTATATATGCACCCGAAATATACTTTACTTGGTATACATAAGCACGTCGTAAGTTTCGCTCCTGAAGGATCGGGGTGAGTGCCTGAAACTCTGTAATACGTATATAAGCAGACGAGGCCGAAATATACTTTATTTACTATACATAAGCACGTAAGTTTCGCTCCTGTACAAGATGAAATAAGATGAGATGCATTCAAATGCATTCAAAACGCATTCAACTTGAATGCAGGCTTGGATTCAAGATTCGAGATTCAAGATGCCGGGCAAGTTCTCCTGGGCATCTTGAGTCTTGAATCTTGAATCCAAGCCGGCATTCAAGTTGAATGCGTTTTGAATGCACTTGAATGCATCTCATCTTGTTTTGACTCGGCATCATCTTGCTCCCAGTTGTGCTTTTTCAACCAATCGTGTGCGCCAGGCCGCTGCAATAAGTGCACAAGCCGGGATCCCACCCTTTAGGGCTTAGCGAAAAGGAATTAGAGAGTGCTACCTGTTTTGAAGACGTAAGGAATCCCTCTTCAGGGTTCGGGAATAGGATTTGAGAGTATAAGGGAACAAGATTAAGGGGTCCCGCTCCTTAAGATTTAATGAAAAGAATGAGGCAATAAAAGTCATTTTTTGCTTTCGGATTTAGGCTTAAGTTTAGGGTTTAGGGACGGACCACCCCTCTTTGGGCTTAGGGAATAGGACTTAGGGAAAGATATTCAGAGATTAAGATGGGGAAGAAGATTTGGGGATGCCACCCTTCAGGGCTCAGCAAAAACGAATTACTGAATAGGATCACACCTTTCCAGGGTTCGGGAATAGGATTTGAAAGCAAATATACGGGAATAAGATCGAACGGTTCCCGCTCTTTAAGATTAAGATTTGATAGAGACAAGAATCCACCTTTTACGGTTTCGCGAAAATTATTTAGGGAATGGGATTTGCTTTTAGGATTCAGGGGCTCTCCTTTTCAAGATTTAGGGGTCCTTGGAACTTAAGGATCCTATTTCCCAAATCCTTATCACTAAATCCTAAAGAGCGGGGTCCCCATATCTTGTTCCCTAGATTTATTCCTTGATGTTTTTCCCGAAGCCCTAAGAAAAGGCATCCATGCATCCTAGTTTAGGATAGGGACTTGGGGGATAGGTTTTTTTGAAAATGCTCCTCTTTAAGATTTAAGGACGCCCCTCTGCAGGGAATAGAACCTCGGGAATAACATTAAGGGAGTATGATTTGGGTCCCACTCTTACTGTTTCGCGAGAAGGATTAGGGAATAGGATTTGTTTTAGGCTTCAGGGGCTCTCCTTCTCAAGATATTCAGGGGCTCTCCTTCTCAAGATTTAAGGGCTCTCCTCCTTAGAATTTAAGGATCCTATTTCCCAAATCCTTATCACTAAATCCTGAAGAGCGGGGTCCCTAGATTTATTCCCTTAATGTTGTTCCCTAAGCCCTGCAGAGGGGCATCCTTACGTCCTATTGAGGAGAGCCCTTGCATTTTACAAACCAATCTTATTCCCCAAGTCCTCTGTGCTGAATCCTAAAGAGCCGGATCCCCAAATCTTACTCCCTAAACCTTATTTCCTTAACTTCATTCCCTAAATTGTGATCCCTAATCCCTGAAGAAGGGGGTTCCTTAATTCCCTGTAGAGGAGAGCCTCCTCAATCCTAAAGATAAATCCTATTCCCGAAGTCCTTTACGCTGAGCCCGAAAAAGCCAGATTTCCGGAAATTTCCGGAAGTTCAAGCACAAAACGCGGGTACATGAGGGGGGGGGGGGGGGGGGTTGCATATATATATATATATGTATATATACATATTATGCATATACGTATATATCTGTACATGGTACCGTCTCCCGTGTACCTACCTATTTGTCCTTTACAATGTTGCTTTTTTGGAACAGTACACCACGTTGGAGGCATTTTCTCCTTGAAAGCATGGGTTTTTTGGGACGGTACAGCGTTTTTGCCGTCCCACGCCTGCAAAGTGCTGTACTGTCCCAAAAGAATCATCTTTTTCAGCACAAGCAAACAAAAATGCTGCACTGTCCCAGTTGATGCCCACAGGCAGAAACGAAAGCTCCGTGATGCGGAGTGTTTTTTTTTTCGTCCGGGCAGGCGTCCGCCGGCGGGCCCCGGGCCAGCATTTGAAGGTAAACTTGGGGGAAAAAATATCAAACTAGACAGCGCAACCCTGTCAATTCGTTTCGTTTGATAGACGCCACCATGCTTTTGAACTGCAAGCCGTGTTGGTGGTAGCTCAACTATCAGTAACTAGTACTATTGGCCCCTAATGACACGATTATTTGGCACAACCCAATAGCTGTCCTTCATTCTCTTCAAATATTCCAGGCTGTTCAAGGTTAAACTTGACGGGGTGAATATCGAATTAGTAAGTGTGCAACCCTGTAGGTTCAATTGGATTAAAACTAGATCCTGACTGTGGCGATTCTCCCAATAGCTGTCCTTCATACTCTTCCAATATTCCCGGCCGTTTCAACTTGAGAGAATGAATATCTGCCTAGCAATGGGGTATTTAAATTCAACGAACAACTTTTCACCAGCCCCCAAATTACAAAAACAAAAGCCCACGATTATTTCGATGATTTGGCACACCGGCTGTCGTCCTTCATTCTCGTCCAACATTCCCGACCATTCGAAGAATATGATTTAGAAAATACAACTTGCCTCCAGTTCTGCTACAAATAATGAATTGGCTGAATTACTTACATGTTCAAAATGGAGTAGGCAACTACTTTTCTTAAGCAACGGAGTGAGCTACAATCGAGAAGGGTTGCACAGGATTGTCATCGCAACTTGGCAAGGCGATAAGATCATACGATGTCTCCCGCAAGAAGTAGTATTGATTCACCAGGATATC